GCTTCAAAAAAGGCCTCGTCTTGTCTTTGCGGTTATTTGATTGAGCTAAATTAAATGACTAACTGCATCTAAATTGAGCTTCTCCTTGCCCAAAAGGAGGTTGGCTGAGAAAATTCATGGGGCTACACTGAGGTACATTTCCAGGCAATGGCCCACCGTCTGCACGAAACTGAGACTGGAGCTGATTTATCTGGTGAACGAGTCCCGTACGTGAACACCAATCAACACCTTCTGTTTCGCCAACACTTAGTCATCAAACAGGCCTCAGAGCAAACTCACCTGTGTAAAATGTGCTTGTGTGGTGTTAATTTAAGTTACATGTTACTCAAATAATCACAGCTGTACATAAGTTCACACTCAAGTTACCTGCATTCAGTAAGATATGTTAAAATGCAGTTGCGTCTCTATTCCATTTACATTGTCAGCCCAGCTTAAATAAGGCATGGCTTCCATTTGCAGTTTACTTGAGCATTCAACACGAAACAAAAGCTGTGCTTTATAATGTCGCTATCTCACAGTCTAGCCTTACGCTAATAAGTTAGCTCCAACCGTACACACTAGCCACAAGCTATTCAAAATACAAAGATACAATACAACACAATACAATAAAATATGATATGCTGCGATGCAATTTGATACAACACAGTGTGTTGTATTGTTACATCCCTCTATGTAACCTTCAACACAAGCATGTAACCTTGATGTCCAAAACTACGCAGATGTTAAACCTATTCTAGTCTAGTTCCCAAATTTGTTCTCAGGGCCCTCCATGCAACTCAAACCACAGGGTAAAGTGAAAGAGTATGGAAAGTTGCAGGTACCTGGAGGGAATGTGGCATTACTACATGGCTAAAGCCCACAGATTAGAGAGGGATCAGCTCCATTGTAGCCTACATGACTGACACAGCTAATCTCAGAACAAGGCCGTTTTCATACATGTATGCCATGTATGTGTACATATACAGTACACATCCTGTGCAAAGTCAGAGAGACCAGCCACCCCCCCCACACCACCCTCCCCAACCCCCCGGCCCGTTCATTTATTTGATTTCCAGTCAAAACTGCCGTTAAGTTATTAATTTTTCAGGACATATTTCTGATTTGATATCAGGTAATCCACTTGAATAAGGAAGGAAAAGCTTTCTAAGGCTGAATGTGTTTGAGATTACTCGGATGGAGAAATGCAGAAAATGTTAAACCAACTTCTAAGACTGAACTTTGAGGGTGTGGAAAAACCTGAAAACGAGTCTCCTGAAAAGAATGGAAGCTGTAATAAAGGCAAAGAGTGACACAGTAGATACTGAAAAATGTGATATTATATTTAGTTGTTGAGGTTTCTGTATAATTTTCTTTTAAATAAATATTTTCTGATTTTTATGCTGAAAAATGAATGACTAGTACTTAATGATCATTTTGACTGGGAGTTGAATAAAGGATGGTCTCAGACTTTTGCACAATGCTGCATACTTTGGAACCATATGCATGCGCTATGTTCTTAAACATATGGGTCATTCTATAGAAACGTCCACATTTGTATCTCTCCATAGGAGTCACTGGTGTTACTGATCCTCATTGGTGTTACACATAATAAAGGGAACACCAGAGACATTTTTAATGAACAATGCATTTTACAAAATGTCTTCTACAGAGCATCAAACCACATGTTGTCAATCATGGAATATCCACTAAAATATGAAATTTAATCGATTTGTATTCTATTTTTTCACAATTACTTCAGAATAAAGTCGGTCATACCAGTGACTTCAGCTAAAAGCTTCATATGAAATCATGAGCTAAATGAGAAAATCTCTGATAACTGAAAGACACGGTGGACATGAGCTTTTCGTCATAGATCCTCAGAAAACGGGTAAAAGGAAGTCAAGTGATGTCATCAGTGTGACTTTTATTTCAAAATAAGAGATTTTTTTGTTACATAGTAACACCAGTGATACGACTCCTGGGGACCAACTTTCATTATATATTTTATAATATTTATTTGGCATTTGTTTTCTTTATGTCATTTAATTAATATGTTTTTTCTTCAAAATATGGCCTTACCCTTTACACATGACTGTGGGGACAAACACTTCTGAGGTGCTTGGAGTTCTAGATAATTGATTTAAAAACCAACATTTTTAAATTGATGGCTGAAGAAGGTGTAATTGTTAAAATAACAGTTTTATTTTAAAAAATAAATAAGTTAACATGTTTTTCAGGTGTAATATATCTGTAAACGCAAAAATAGACATTTCTCTGTTAGAACACACATATACACAAGGTGACCAAAAGTATGTGGACACCCTATTTAGTAGTGTTTGGCTAATTCAGCCACACCCATTGCTAACAGGTACATGAAGACCTCAGTGACATTCAGCATGGCACTGTCATAAGATGGCAGTGTGTCAATTTTCTCCCCTGACAGAGCTGTCCTAGACAACTGTAAGTGCTGTGGTTGTGAAGCTGAAACATCTTGGAGCAATAACAGCTCAGATGTGAAGTGGTGGGCCACACAAGCTCACAGAACGGGAGTCTGTTGTAAACACTCCAAGCCTCTGGAAACATCAGCACAAGAACTGTTCATTGGGAGCTGTATGGATCAGGTTTCCCTGGTAACCATGGCACCATGTGCAATGGCAAACGATGCCTACAGTGGTGTAAAACACTCTGCTATTGGACTCTCGAGCAGCAGAAATGCACTCTCTGGTCTGATATAGCACATGTCAACATCTGGCAGTCTGACAACAACTCTAGGTTTGATGGATGGCAGGAGAACACTACCTGTGTGAATGCATAGTGCTGACTAAAAAGTCTGGAGGAAGTAATATAATGTGTTTCGTGGGTTGAGTCCCTTAATTCCAGTGGTGGGAAATCTGACATCCCAGATATTTGTGTGCTTTCAACTTTGCCCCTCGTTCACAAAGTGAGGTCCATGCAAAAATACTGTGTGCAGAAGATCTTAACTAGTCTGCACAGAGCCCTGATCTCAACCTCATCCAACACCTTTGAGAAAACGCTGGAACTCCAACTGCGGGCCAGGGTTCATCGCCCAACATCAGTGTCTGACCTCACTAATGCTTTGTCAGATGAATGGTACCTCTGCAGCTGTGTTCCAATAAATCGCCGTTGTCAGAAGAAAACCTCATATCTCCATTTTTCAGTTTTTGACATAATTTGAAAATGCCGGTTACCCTTTACATTGTGTGTAAATTTCATGATGAATGGACTAAAAGAAACGGCCCAAAATGACTTGGGAAAAAGTCTGGGTCCATTGACGTACATTAAAAGTAAAGTAGGTTTTTTCCTTCTCCTATAAAATTACCATTTTGGAGATATGAGGTTTTCTTCCGAAAACAGCGATGTTTCACAGTAATCTCACAGTGCTGTCAATAAACATACTATATCGATTAACTGATTAGCCTCTTAAATAGCCATGTACCGATGATGGTCCAAACTTCTATTAAATATCTCTATATCTTAAGAACAGCTCAGCCAGTTTGTGCCATAATCGATGTATTTGCTGAAGTCTTAGAATCTGATAAGTCTGGGATTTTTGTTTGCTAAGAAACAACAATACATGCATCACTCTACTTTTGGAGTGAAATGAAACATATTTAAAAATTTTCTGAGGCTTACTTTTTCTATCTTTGCAAAACTGTTGTATAAGCAACAGAACAGAAGGTTGTGTGCTGTTGTAAACAGTATCACAGGTATGATGGTCTGCGGCAACCAAATCACAGCACTGATGTTATTCACCATAGTACAAATACACTATATGACCATAAGTATGTGGACATCCCTACTAATTAGTGAGTTCACGTGTTTCAGCCACATCTATTGTTAACAGGCCTATAAAATCAAGCACATAGCCATGCAATCTCCATAGACAAACACTGGAATGGGTCATACTGAGGAGTTCACTGACCTTAAACGTATCACTGTCACAGGATGCCACCTTTTGTCAGTTCATGAAATTTCTGCCGTGTTAGATGTGCTCCAGTCAATTTTACGTGCTATTATTGTGAAATAAAGCCATCTAGGAGCGACAACAGCTGAAATGGTAGACCATACTCAGAAAAACTCAAAAAGCAGTGCTGCCGAGAGCTGAAGCACATAAAAAAACACTGTTTTATAATTCATTAAAGAGTTCCAAACTGTCTGTGGAAGAAATATCAACACAAGAACTATGCATCAGGAGCTTCATGAAATGGGTTTCCATGGCTGAGCAGCTGCACACAAGCCTAAGATCACTATGTGCAATGCCAACTGTCAGCTGGAGTAGTGTAAAGCACCGCCACTGGAATCTGGAGCAGTGGGAACGTGTTCTCTTGAGTGGTGAATTATGGTTTACTATCTGGCAGATTCAGATGAAAGAATCTCGGTTTGATGGATGCCAGGAGAACACTATCTACCAGAATGCATAGCACCAATAGTAAAGTTTGGCTGAGGAGGAATAATGGGCTGGGGCTGTTTTTCAGGGTTTGGGCCCCTTAGTTCCAGTGAAGGGGGATGTTAATGCAACAGCATACAAAGATGTTTTAAACAATTATATGCTTCCAACTTTGTGGCAACAGTTTGGGGAAGAACCTTTCCTGTTCCACCACAACTGGCGAGGTCTATAAAGACATAGTTTCACATGGCTTTTTGTCTTAAAGTGCCCTTTCTGATGGGCTCTAAATGCTTAATGTGCCACTGTGCTAAACCTATTAAAAAATTAAAACTAACCCTAAACGCCAGGCACAGTTTGGTTGTATCCGTAAATTTACAAAAGGGCATTAAAAACACCAGGTTGATCATGCAGAGCTGCAGTTTCTCATGACCGAGCATTTTTTTGGCTGAAGCTGTCAGTTTTCAACGCCCAACAGCCAAACTGTCCGCCTTCAAACGGCTTACATTTCACAACTGTTCACAAGGTGCCCATTTTAAGCACCTCAGCTCCTGCCATTGCCAAAGTCTGGGCACACTACTGCACCCTCGAATGTCCAGTTAATTCAAGCACTCACCCACTGGTGTGTCTTCAGCAATGCTGAACAGCGCCATGTTCCCACTGGTGCTGCTGGGGCCATTGTCATAGAAGTAAGGAGCAAAATCGGATTGTCCTGGAAGAACGTAAAGATTAAAATTAGTTTTATGTGTCTCTAATTTGACGTACCATCACGGTCAGAACAAAACCTTGTATTCTTGTTGTTTTGTTTGTGTTTTTTTGGAAAGTGCCAGGAGCCACACCATGACAAACATTTCATAGCAAATAGTCCAACAGAAACAGCCTGATGTAGAATAAAATCTCATTACATTAACTTAGACTAAAACTTAGGAAGCTCTGTTTCTTCCTGCTGTAGTAAAGTTACTGTTTTGGAGACACAACGTTTTGTTTTGACAGCGATGAAATGGACAGAGATTGAAATTGGCAAAGCCGTGTGAGAGCGCTGTTAAAAAACAAACAAAAAAAATAAAAACAAAACAAAAAAAAATTAATGAATAAATAAATAAAACTTAAAGCAACATTACAAGCAAAGCTGAAGCTGCAGCCAGATGATAGTCTAGACGGACCAAACTGGTTTCATATTGATCACTTCTTAAATATGACTGACTTATGGAAACAGAATAGAAATTCTATTTCAAGTCCATAAGAAAATACACTCAATATTAAAGCCAATAAGCAAATATGCAGCTGCGAAGGGGAAATGTTTCAGTGTCACTCACTTGCTATAGGAGCAGGTTAGCAGAACAAAGGCAGAAAAAGTTATGAAAACATGACATCATGGTGGAAAATGAGAGAAAAAGCAAGAAATTAGGTGTTTACAAAGTGCACACACACCCACCCAGCCCAATGTTCCTGTTAACCCTCCCCATTACTGAAGAGTCCAGCTGGACCCAAATGAACGCTGTAGTTAATTCAGCACTGGGGATTTTGCCGTGTACTTAAAGGATTATCAGGGCAATAACAGCTCCGGCGCAGCTGATAACTAACTCACCTCTTCCCTCCGTCCCTCCTGAAAGCTTTTACACAAATGAAGATGAACTCACCGAGGTGGATGTGAGGCAGCAGAAGGAGCAGAGAGAGCCGGAGCGAGTGTGGACTCTTCATCCTGCGGGCAGAGCGAGAGTGTGGAGGAGGCTCATGCGGAGAGTGAGATGAAGCCGGTGTCCTTCTGGAGACGTCTTCCAGCAGGACTGAGCCGAGCTGAGCTGGAGAAGCTTCACACACTCTAATCCAGTGACGTATCACGCGCTCCTCTGCTGCTGTTCCACACCTTAGGGCTCCTCACGCTGTCGAACCCAACAGTGACTCAAAACAACACCCAACACACACACACACTCACTCAGCAAGGTGATACAGCTCCTCACTCTTTCCTTATGTACATAAGAAAACCTTGTGATTTCATTCTTTTTCAGTTCATTTTGACATCATTTGAAAACATCAGCTGCCCTTTACACTGCATATTTTATAATGACTGGAGCAAAATTTTGCATCATGGGTAACATTTCAGTACAGGGGGACTTCATAATGCCGTAATGTCATAATGATATATGTGGAGAGGAATTCATGCCAGATTGAAAAGCAATCACTACAGCGGACAAATGTGAAATTTGATGCACACATGACATTACTTTTCCATAGTGACACGCAGAATGTGTGCCAAAATGAAAAACAAAATCTTTATTATATTGCTTTCACATCGCTTGACCACCTTATTGAAAAAAAGTATTTGCATTTTAAAATTAAAATGCTGCATTGGTGTCAGAATTGAGTACAATCCACCTTGTAATGTAATGAAATGATTTGTCCTTATTGAAATGCAGTCATAACAGTAAAAACAGTGAAACACAATGCGCACTTCACATTACTTTACGCAGGTGACATGCGGAATAAGTGCCAAAACGAAAAGCAAAACCTCTATTATAATGTTTTATGTTGCTTGACCTCTTTTTTGTACCGAAATGGAACTAAAACACTGAAATGCAATGCACTGCATTTAAACAGTAACATGCAAAAAACAATAAAAGATCCATAACATTGATTTAACGTTGTTTTAAGTACTGCATAGTGGAAAGCAATAGTTGTGCCTTCATTGCATTTTAAGGCAGACTGTTTTCAATTCTGACACATATTCAGTGTTTTATTTTTAAAGTGCAAATCCTCATGTGTTGTTAATCAGTAAAGAGATAAAGCAAAATGAAAACAATGTAATAGAGGTTTTGCTTCTCATTTTGGTATGTACTCTGCATGTCACTATAAAATTACTGTATCAGATTTTCTTACAACAGAAATTATATTTAATTACTAAAACATACACTGATCAGGCATAACATTATGACCACCTCCTTGTTTCTACGCTCATTGTCCATTTTATCAGCTCCACTTACTATATAGGTGCACTTTGTAGTTCTACAGTTACAGACTGTAGTCCATCTGTTTCTCTGCATACTTTGTTAGCCCCCTTTCACCCTGTTCTTCAGTGGTCAGGACCCCCATCGACCCTCACAGAGCAGGTACTATTTGGGTGGCGTATCACTCTCAGCACTGCAGTAACACTGATGTGGTGGTGGTGTGTTAGTGTGTGTGGCGCTGGTACGAGTGGATCAGACACAGCAGTGCTGCTGGAGTTTTTAAACACTGTGTCCACTCACTGTCCACTCTATTAGACACTCCTACCTTGTCAGTCCACCTTGTAGATGTAAAGTCAAAGACGATAGCTCATCTGCTGCTGCACAGTTTGTGTTGGTCATCATCTAGTCCTTCATCAGTGGTCACAGGACGCTGCCCACAGGACGCTGTTGGCTGGATATTTTTGGTTGGTGGACTATTCTCAGTCCAGCAGTGACACTGAGGTGTTTAAAAACTCCAGCAGCACTGCTGTGCCTGATCCACTCAGACCAGCACAACACACACTAACACACCACATCAGTGTTACTGCAGTGCTGAGAATGATCCACCACCCAAATAGTACCTGCTCTGTGAGGGTCCATGGGGGTCCTGACCACTGAAGAACAGGGTAAAAGGGGGCTAACAAAGTATCCAGAGAAACAGATGGACTACAGTCTGTAACTGTAGAACTACAAAGTGCACCTATATAGTAAGTGGAGCTGATAAAATGGACAATGAGCGTAGAAACAGGGAGGTGGTCATGATGTTATGCCTGACCGGTGTAGTTTGAAAGAATGCCTTATTTCCATTCAGAAAAAAGTGAAAAACTGCACACTACCAACCCCCGTCCTCAGACTGACGTGATGACTCATGTGCATGTGTGTTGCTGTTTTCTATCTCTGTTCTGTCTTTGCTGTTTTATGGTTTGATTCTGGCTTGTCTTTACGGTGCCACTCTGAAGTTTGGAAACATTTGCCATAGTAAAAATTGTTATGCCACAATAACTTACACAGTGTAGACTGAGGTTGTACTGCAATTACTATAGTTCATATTGTTCCTAAATGCGATTATGATTTTCAAGTAACAGATCTCACATTATGATACAATACAGGTGAAAATGAATAAGGCTTAATGCACAGTGAATAAACCATTCAGAAGTGTCTAATCTGACACCTTTATTAAACCCCAAATGTGTTCCTTAAAATAAAGTGTTACTTTAATTTCATGGCCTGAAATGACTATGAACAGCTATTTGATCACTGAGATTTGGTCACCATTTTAGGAATTCTGTATATTCATTTTATTATTAGGTTCATTCTTGATGCTCTACAGCTTTCTCAGTGACTATGGAACTATCCTCAGCTCTGCTCACCACATATAATGTCCTAATTATTATTTACAAGAAACTTACCTTATAATATTAGCATCATATTAGAATCATTTTATACGTTAATCCATAACAAGACTGGTTTTATATTATTGAAAACAGTGATTCTACACTTTTGAATGATGGTGCATCTAAACTGTCCAGTATTTTGTCTGTGGCCTTGCAGTTGAAAGTTAGTCAGTGGGCTAACACTAGCATACTGAGCTTGTTGATGAAAGTTCACCATCCCTAATATTTATTAAAAATAAAACACATGGTTAACCCCTTAAATGGCCAGCATCTGTCAGTAGGTACAGTCTTCCACTTCTCACTCATATAACATATAAATAATTCAGCTAGTTTCAATTTCTTTTCTATGTAATTGTACAATAATAAGCCTTACGCCCTATTTGGATTAGTTTTCCATTGGGAAGTGGGGTAATGTAATTTACCAAAGGACAGCTGTAATGTTTATGGCCAATTTGCATGGGATAGGGAATCTCAGTATAAACGAATGGCAACTCAATTTACACACAGAAAATGTCAAAACATTAAATTTAGCCATTATTTCATGTAGCCTAACAGTTTACCTTTCTGTCTAAAATGAATGAAGTGCATCATTAGCATCAGCATTAGCTTAGAAATTTACAGCTATCAACGTTACCCAGAAAACTGAACTTTTCTTTTTCTTTGTTGTACATATGAGCTAGGACAGTAATGATAGATAGATAGATAGATAGACAGATGAATAGATAGATAGATAGATAGATAGATAGATAGATAGATAGACAGATGAATAGATAGATAGATAGATAGATAGATAGATAGATAGATAGATAGATAGATAGATAGATATAGATAAATGAATAGATAGATATAGATAAATGAAGATAGATAGATAGATAGATAGATAGATAGAGTAGATAGATAGATAGATAGATAGATAGATAAATGAATAGACAGATAGATAGATAGATAGATAGATAGATAGATAAATGGATAGACAGATTGATAGATAGATAGATAGATAGATAGATAGATAGATAGATAGATAGATAGATAGATAGATAGATAGATAGATAGATAGATACATAGATAGATAGATGAATAGATAGATAGATAGATAGATAGATAAATGAATAGATAGATAGATAGATAGATAGATAGATAGATAGATAGATAAATGGATAGATAGATAGATAGATAGATACATACATAGATAGATAGATAGATAAATGAATAGATAGATAAATGAATAGATAGATAAATGAATAGATAGATAGATACATAGATAGATAGATAGATAGATAGATAAATGAGTAGACAGATAGATAAATGAATAGAGAGATAAATGAATAGATAGATAGATAGATAGATAGATAGATAGATAGATAACTTTATTTATCCCAGAGGGAAAGTCACCTGTTACAGCAGCCCAAAATACTGTAAAGACCAAAACAAGAGCAAAAGTATTGCCATACACTATTATACAGTTGTATAAATACACAGAGTAAAAATATACAATAAAATATACTAAAACAACCATTAAAAATATATGCAGTACAAAAATAATTAAGTCAAATTGCTTAATTATTATGCAGGTGACAATACAGTGGTGCATATCACGTCCAGTGAATCAACCAAGTGACTAAATGCTGTAAACGATAACATATGTTAATATTTGTGCAATATGCCTGGGTGTATAAACAAGTGGCAGTGCAATATGCAATATATATGGACGTATAAACAAAGTGGCAGTGCATAGTGAAGAGTAGAGAGATATAACGTCCAGTTGGTGATCAGTGAGCCTGTCCTGTCAGTGGTCTAGTATACAGTACTGTCCCGGCACAGCGGCGAGGTTCTGTACAGTGAGATCGCTGTTGGTACAAACGATCTCCTGCACTGTTCCTTACTACAGCGGCGCTGAATGAGTCTGTTGCTGAAGGTGCTCCGCTGTCTGACCAGTAGGTCATACAGGGGGGGGTGATGTATTGTCAAGGATAGCAATGAGTTTATTATGTGACCTCCTTTTACCCACCATCTCAAAACCATCCAGTGAGCAGCCCAAGACTGAGCCAGCCTTCCTGATCAGTCTGTTGAGCTTATCTGCTTTATTTTGGTCACAGAGAACAAAAGCAAGCACTTCTTAAATGATAACATTTATACCGACACGTCGATCTCACAGGGTTAAATGTAACCTGAGGTTATTTCTATAGCTTGTTTTATAGAAGGTAAAAGGTGCTGGGATATTTATTGATGCAGGAGCGCTCAGGTAAAACATGGCACATTCAGAGGGGACTAAAATCACTGAGAACTGCTGGTTAAAATTACATTAGCCACATCCTCATATATTCCAGTCCTAATAGGGCTTTAGAATGTATTGGACCTGAGAATTTGAGGGGTTAATCTACATTTTTACCACACG